GCGGCCCAGCGTGCCACTCTGAGGCTCAGCCCGGGGCGGAAGGGGCGGGGCTGCGGGCGCGCTTCGCCCACTACGCCCCTCCTGCCCGCCCTTCCTCCGGCTTTCAAACCCCAGAGGCTCGTAGGTACGTGAGGAGCGCCGAACTACAACTCCCGGTATGCAACGCTGTGCGTCGCAGCGACGTAATGTCGTGGCAGGTGGATGCTCTGTAGGTTTCAGGCACTGAAATCGATCTTTTGCTTTTTTAAATACTTATTTGTATTAAGGAGGGAGATGAAGTATGCAAAATACAAGGAGGGTAATTTCAAAATAAAAGCAAGATCTAACTGGGCCGTTAAAGTTTAGAATTGAAAGTTAAAGTTCTAAAGTTAAAGTTCTAAAGAGTAAAAATGGTGACAAATCAAAAAGGGCAGCAGTAAAATTGGAGGACATTGAACCCGGAAATTCAGAGATTAAATAGAGTCCTAATCCGTCTCACTTTACATAACAGTGACAGAGGTTCGGAAAGTGTGAATTACCTGCTTTATACAGTACATGAAGATACTGTACTGGAATGCACTGAGTTTTTTAAATCTCTACAGTGATTTAAATACAGGTGGATGCCCTCGTTATGTAGGATTTATTTTCTTCTTGCAGTGGTGGGAATCAAACCCAGGATCTCATGCATGCTAGGCAACCACTCCGCCACTAAGCGATGCCCCAGCCCATTGTATAGGACTTGAAAGCTATGCAACTAACTCTAGTGAGGCTCGGATTGATACGCTGGCAGTCTCCGTTCAGATAGTCTGCCCCCTGTTAGCTTTCCCAAATGTTGATTTAGTGCTCTTTCGACTGCAATACAAACTAACTATGATGTCTAATTCTGATTAAAATTCCTACAAAAAAAGGTGGCGACGGAATAGAATCATCTTGAGTGTAGTATCTCCCAGATATATAAACTGTCATCTTTTCTAATGGTCCCCAAAGCCCATTTTAGTACAGTATTTTACGATTTCTATCCAACACATTGTCAGTAAACATTGAGCATCTACTATTAATGAAGACTGCTAAGCACTGAAAACCTAGGATGACTCCAATGATTTGGTCTACCGACTAGTAATCAAATAAATTCTAGTGTACAATAACGTATTTATCACAGCTTTATCACAAAAATAAACCCTTTTTAAACACGAACGTTTTCCCATTTGTTCAAAAGTGCCCTAGCTAGTGTTGGACAGAGCCTGGATAGTGAGAACACATTACTATCCTTGGCGCGCCTGCTCCCTGGAAAACCAGATTATGTATTGGCTAGAAGAGCGGTGATAAACCGCCACACGAATATTTGGGCTAAAAGGTACAGTGACTTTTACATATCCACCTTTTGGCCTACATGGACTTTTTCCGAAGTGGTTTTGCTATCCCCTTCCCTGAAACCTGGTTTCTATTTTCGCACAGCAGCTAACTTTCAGGCGGCTGGCTGTCCTTCTGCAGGCGCGCGCGGCCCGGACGTTGGGCCGAGGACCCGGCACCATGGCGGTCACGCCGGGGGTCCTGCTGCTGCTGCTGGAGCTCAGCTGCGGAGGCTCAGCCCTGTGGAGGTAGCGAGAGGCCAGATCCCAGGAGCGGAAAGGGCGGGGGTCGCCCCTGGGGCCGAGCTAGCGGCGCCCCTGCCTTGCAGACCGCTGCGTCATCCCCCAGCTCCGGGAGCAGATCCCGGCCCCCGCCGGCTTCCCGTCCCACCCGGGCGTTTTCAAGGGATGGGGTGTGGGGGCGCCCTGGGCACCTTGCTGCTCATCCAGTTCGCGCACAAGTTGGTGGGACCTTCATTCTGCTGTCTCCTGAATTTTTTTTTTTTTTTAACTTTTAAAGTTAATTTTTATTTTTTGGCCCCCGGGGGAGGCATTTTACTAGGATAACTAGGAGGGGATACAGGTATAGTAGGTAGTTGGAGCACAGTGAGTTATGCAAAAGTGCTTTATAAAATATGAACTCTTTATAAATGTAAGGAAATACAATTCCTGTAGAAGGTGAGTTGAATGAAATGCTATGAAGTTCTAAGAGATCTTCAATGCAAGGTTGGTTTTTGTTCAGTATTCAGTAACTGCTGCATTGGAAATTGTATAAAATATTTTAAAAAGATTTTCTACATACTCATAGGTTAAAAATGCAGCTGATTAACCAAAAACCACATTCTTCAAATGTAAAACCAATTAATTTCCAACATTAACATTTAAGAATATCAACAATAAACCATTGCAGAAGTGGAAACTTCTAGGGTTTCCCTTCCCAAAGGGTATCTCATTGGATGGATGGAGGAGACAAAGAGCTGGGTGTGGTAGCACCGTCTCTAATCCCGGGCTTCTGTGAGGCTGACACGCAAAATGAAGATAAAGCTTCATGTTAGATTATTATGACGCTTGACCGTATTGGTCCATTTTGAGCCCTCAGCACAAGCAAAAGATGTTTCCATTAACAATGATGGCTGCCTACTCAGCCATAAAGAATGAGAAATTAGATTCATTCATAGGAAAATAGATACATATTGAGGAAATAAATAAGTCACACATGTGTAAATACCGAATAGTTTCTCTGGTGTGAAAAGCTATAATAGTACATAAGATCCTAATGAGATAATTGACCATGTGAAACAGGAAGAAAAGGGCTAAAATGGGAAGGGTAGGGGAAAGGTAATAAGGGAAAAGAAAAAATATGACAAAATGAAAAAATGGAAATAAAGTGTTTGTAAATGGGGAGGGGGGAGGGGTGAAGGGAGGGCAGGGACAAGGGGAAAAAATGAGAACCAAGACCTGTCATGTGAAGGTTCGAGATCCCAATAATGAATGTAATTGTACTGTATACCTTAAATGTACCAATAAACTCAATAAAAGAAAAAAAAATCACAAAGACGGCTGCTATTACTGATAGCCTGTGAAGTCAGGGAGCTTATAAGCTTTTTTGTCTTGAACACCAGAGGTCACCCAACATTTCTGCAAAGGACAGCAGAGTAAACATTTTAGACTTTTTCTGGAAATACAGTTTACGTTACAACTACTCAGATCTCTACGGTAGTAGAGTACACCCAGTCCTCTTTCTCAATTCTATGATTTTATTTTTCTTACTACATTGGCTAGTATTTCCAATGCAACGCTGAGTAGAAATATAACGGTGGCATCTTCTCTCATTCTAGTTCTTCAAGAAAATGATACTAGTGTTTTCCACTTAGAGTATTGTTTGTAATAGATGTTCTATAGATATTCAGATATTCTATCATTGTTAAAGGAATTTTCTTTCATTTCTTATTTACTGGCTTTTATTTTATTGTTATATGAAATTTCATCATTTTTCATATCTTTAAACAATTGTATGATTCTTCTCTTTAAATTGATATATGTGGTGAGTTTGACTTATACAATTTTCTAATTAAGCCATATTTGCAGAGATGGTATAAATCTAACAGTCATCATTTATTATTTCTTCACACGTGGTTGTATTTGATTTGCAAATATTTTCTTTATTATTTGAATATCTATCTATCTATTTATCTATATAATGAGTTGAAGAACACTCTTATTCAGTTCTTTGAAAGAGTTTATGTAAATTTAGGGTCATTTGTACCTCAAAAATTTTGACAGAATTCCTATGTAAAAATCCCTGAGCCTAGTGTTTCTGGTGAGATTTTAAACTACTGCTTTGTACAGCCATTTAAGCCTTTTATTTCTATTTCTTCCTCTTTTTTTTTTTTTGGTTTGTTTTGAGACAGGGTCTCACTACCTAGTCAAGACTGACCTGAACTCACTATGTAGCCCAGGGTGGTCTCGAACTCATAGCAATTCTCCTGCCTCAGCCTCCCAAATGCTGGGATTACAGGTGTGCACCACCATGCCCAGTTCCTTTTATTTTTTTCTTGAGTTAATTTTGGTAACATATAAAAATGCCCATTTGATACAATTTTTCAAAATTATCATGTAATTGAGACTATATGCTTATCTTTTAAATATCTGCTTTATCTATAATTATGGCCCCTTTTCATTAATATTTAACTGTACTGTTTTTGGTCTTGATCAATCTTTGTATAAGCTTGCTTGTCTTATTTTGTCTTTATATTTTTGTTTGCCATTTTATTGATTTATTTTCATGTTTTTATTGGATTTTTTTTTTAGCTTATTCTGATGCTGTCTAACATACTAAATTACACATTTAGCTAATAGTCTTTAGTCTTTTCTTACATGATACTTAAGGGGTATGTCCCTTAGAGTGCTGCTTGGCTGTATCCCATAAAGACTATTATATCATCTTTTCACTATTCATTTCTAGCTAGTTTTAACTTTTATTATTGTCTCTTCTATAATCCTTGAATTATTTGGCATTTGTTTTTAATTCTAAATATGCGAAGATGTTATTTGATAAAAATATTTAAAAATACTTCATTTTACTTTATGCAGATATGTAAAATACATTAACTTTTTTACTCATTCTGTATGTACAGAAATGTGTTTCATTCTGATGACTGACATCTGTTGAGAAAAAGAATTCAGAGTACTGTTAAGGCTTACACAACTGTGCTCAAGGAATTACATAATGACATCCTACCACCTTCTCCCCTACACACAGAAAAAAATGCTTCTATCTTCAAATCTTAGGCATGGAGCAATTCCAGTGGCGATTAAGTATGCAAAATAGATATAGATTATTGAAGTGAAGGGAAAATGCAGAAATTTTAAGGACATGCTTTGTGATAGTCACTGGGCACGTGTGGCTTTTGAACACTTGAAATTGTGGCATATTATAGATGTGACATACACATCAGATGCAAAAGTCTTAGTATAAAAAGCCTGTAAAACACTTTGCTAACAATTATTTTATGCTGGCTACATGTTAAAGTACATTATTCAAATTAATTTCACCTACTTATTCTTGTGATTTTCATGTGGCTACTAGAGACGTTGAAGTACACAGGGGACTTGGATTTCTGTTGGACAGTGATGCTATACCTGGATTAGACAGGAAGTGAAGTACCCTGGATAACAGTGCAAAAATGATCATGAGTGAGGACTCGCAGAAAGTTGCTCTTCGGTCTTGCAAATGAGAAATACTGGTTTTTGAAATTTTAGTCTTTAGTATCTTTATTTAGCTCAGTTTACAGTGAAGGAGTTTGAACAAATAATCTTCAACAGTTTTTATATCAAAAAATGAATTTCCTTCCCATTTCATTTCTATACCTTCAACAAACCCTAACAAGCCTAGAATGGTGGTTGGAGTCAGTGAGAACCTCAATTTTTAGCCCAGACTTCACTTTCCAGAAAAGTCCCTAGACAGAAAGACTAAGTTCTTGCCAGCTCAGGTGGGCCTTGGCCCCATATAGAATCCGTAATATTTGGAAAAAATTAGTGTTAACCATCACATCTGGTCCTTTCCTCTACAGGTATTCAAGTAGGAGCCCACACCATCACATTATTAGTACCAGAAGTGCCGTAAGTATTGAATTTTTTAAAAAAACCACAGTTAAATATGAAATACCTTGAATCCTGAACAGAGAATAATCATTCTGTTTTATTTTTATTTGATTGCCTTGATCCCATTAATCACCCTAACGTGGGTCCCTTCTCCAACACATGTTCTTCATCTATACTTAGCAGAAAACATGCAGTGTTGCTTTATTATTTTGTGATTAATACTCATGAAATGATATGATGGTAAATTGTCTAAAAACTGAAGTACTGAACGTGAAGAATACTATTAGTAATTATTCAGTGAGTAATTATACAACAAATGGAAACTGAATCAGTGTAGACCGAGATAGCTCTGTGGTCAGCCATACGATAGAACTTATTTTCTATATTTTTAAAAATTTATTGTTATACTTTAGATATACAAGATCACATTCACTATAGGGAATTTGTATCTTTACATAATATAACTCGATTCTTCTTTTTTCCCTGTTTCCCTCCCTTTAGCCCTTCTTCCCCCCTTATTTACAAAAGCTTTGTTTCCATTTTTTCCTTTTATTCTCTTTTATTTTTGCTTTTCCTTTCCTTTCCTCTCCCTCCTCCCTCCCTCATTCCACCTCCCATTTGAACATTTTCTTCTTGCTTCCCAATATCTATCCTCCATCTTGGTCCTTATTTACCCTTTTGGTTTCTCACACAAGAAAAACAATGAAGCAGTTAAACATGTGTGTTAGATTTGTTTCACTTAAAAGTATGGTCTCAAGGTGCATCCATTTTACTCAAGAGGCTGAGGCAGGAGGATCTGTGAGTTCAAGACCAGCCTGGGCTACATAGTGAGTTCCAGGTCAGTCACAAGTACATAGTGAGACCCTGCCTCAAAAAAAAAAAAAAAAAAA